TCCCCCAGGGGCCTCTTGCCTGAGGCCGCAGCAGGATCGTGAGCTCTTCCCCCAGATCTCCATCCTTAGTTCACTGTGTGACCTTGGGCAAGGCTCATCACCTCCTACCTCAGTTTTGCTACCTGGACAACAAATACAATTCCAGCTCCCTGCCCTGGTTCTCTGGCCTCTTTCTGAGGGACGTCTCTCCTCTTCTCACTTTCCTCCAGTCACACTGACTTTGTTGATTCCCACCTCAGGGCCTTTGCATGTGTTGTTCTTCTGCCTGGAACCCTCTTTTCAGATCTTCCCATGGCTGGTTCCTTCTCCTCCTTTTGCTCAAATGGCACCTCCTCAGGGGGACCCTCCCCAACTGCTCCCATCTAAAGGGAGGCCCCCCCACAGTCACTCACTCTCCCACTACCTTCCATAACTTTCTCCTGTCCCTTGTCATTACTTATGATTATCTTATTTATCTGTCTGTTGGTTTCTATCTCCCATCATGAAAATAGAAGCTCTGTAAGGGCAGGGCCTGTGTGGCCTTCTTTGCTACTCATACCCCTAATATCCAGCCCAGCAGCTGAGAGACAGCATGAATGAGTGAGTGACTAGGATTCTCTGAGGCTCTGGGGACATCTGCTGTTGTGGCCAGGGGAGGAGGCTACTTGTACTGAGAACACCTTCCTGGGTGTCCTCCTAGTTCTTCCCTGTCCCTGAGCAGCTCAAACCTCAACCCTGAGGGTCTGTGATCCTCTCCATTGGGCAGCACTGGGGCATGAGACCCAGAGAGACACTGGCAGAAGCAGGACAATCTAACTGAGGCCAGCCTGACTGGGTTCAAACCCCAGCTCTGCCCCACTCTCACTTGGGCAGGTGATTGCTCCTCTCTGAGCCCTTTGCCTGTGCAAGGCAGAGATGATAACAACCCACAGGGTTAAATGCATGTAAGTGCAATAAATGTTGCTATTATTACCAGTCCCATTTTACACACAAGCAAACTAAGGCTCAGAGAGGCAAAGTGACTTGCCCAAGGTAACGTTTACATAGTCAGGCCAGGACTTGGATGCAGGTCCTCCTAATCCCACCCTGCATGGCCCTCGTGAGGCTGCATGCCCTTCCTTGGTCCGTTCATCTCCCTTTTTCTCCCCGTGAGACGTTCTTTGTTGGTACCTTCTCCATCAACCCACTTCCACGGAGCACTCTAGAGCTCACGAAGGGCTTGCAAATGCATGAGCTTGTCTTCTCCTCCTGACAACCTATGAAACATTATTAGCCCCAGATCACAGATGAGGAAACTGAGGTACATGGAAGTTCAGCAACTTATTTTCCAAGGCCACCCAGATAGAATGACAGGGCAGGGATTCCAACTGAGATCCGAAGGCCCCACACTGAGAGCCCAGCTCCCCTTCAGATGAGTCGCCCAATAGGCTGGTCTCCCAGCTCCACCACCTTGGACCCACTGCAACCGCAGGGGCCAGCAAGCGAAAGGCCCAAAGCCTTGAATCTCAGATTGACTCCAGAACCGGTAGGAGGTGGGAGGTGGGAGAGGTGGACAGATCCACACCGCTCCTGGACCTTCATCCTTCTGCTCTGGGGCTGGGGGTCCAGGACTGCACTGTTGGCCATGACAATGATGATGATGAAACAAATCACTCTACTTGCTGAGCACTTACTCTGTGCCAGGCTCTGTGTTAAGTGTCTCACCCCCATTTCAAGGTCATTCAGGTCTCCCAGTAGCCCTGGAAGGCAGGCATGGGTTTACCACTGTGTTACAGAGTTGCTGTGCGCATGCACACATCAGAGCTAGGTCACAGTGGTGGGATTTGAGCCCAGGTTGGTTTGACTCTCCAACCCATTAGAATGAAAATAGGAGATATCTGGAGATCCAGCCTCTTAATTCTTGAGTTGGAGGAAACTGTCCTAAAAAGAAGTTCTTGGAGACTGAGTGTGTGTGTGTGTGTGTGAAAGGGACAGAGAGACAGAGACAGGAGAGAGAGAGCCAAGGACAGAGACATGTGGATTCACATGGACACTGACAGATAGTCAATCTTTAGTTTGAGCCTGGTGAAGCCCTGTGAAAAGAAGACTGAGCTCATTCTTTCTGGGGAAGAGAGAAGGGAGGGAGGGAGGCTTCCTCAGGAGGTTGATGATTGCAGTCGGGGGAGGAGGGAGGCAGCCCAGCCCCAGAATCAGATAAACATGTTTGCCACGAAGCACAAGGCTGGACTTTGTCCTGCCCTTCCTTCCTAGCTGTGCCTGGCACCCAGGGAGCAGGTGAGGTAGAAAAGAGAGGATCCCAGGAGCCCCTGAAAGCAGAAGAGAGGAGTTCAGGGAGAGGCCTGGGGGGTGTGGGCAAAGTGAAATGTTCTGGAGCCCCAGCTGGGTCACTTTTCTGAGCCTCAACTTTTCACCTGGGAAATGGGCATATGAATAGTACCTGTTTCCTAGGGTTATTGTAAGGTTTAAATGACCAGCCTTTAGAGGCCTGACTCATAAGAAACAGTCAAGAAACACTACATCTCACAGCTATCAGATTTACAAAAATGGGACTTGGCTGTACTGCCTGCTGACAGATTGAAATGAATCTGTTCCCACCGGTTCCTCCGTGCCAGTACGGGAATATGCTGATAAAAAAGGAGAAAGTCACAGAGCCAAAGCTGCTGGAAGGCTCCGTGCCCTTGCAGAAAAGGGCACTGTCCAGGGGGCAGGCAAGGCCGGTCCTACGTGAAGGAGAGAAGTACTAGGGGGGGAAGCAGTGGGCGGTGGGCTGCAGAGCGCTGGGGGGTTATTTGCTTTTCATTTTGTACAGTTCAGTTTTAAGTATAAATATGCATATATAGCAGATTATATAACATCATAATGCTGTACATAATTTTAAAAGTACAAGAAGCAAGAGAACAATGTCCCTGTCCTCCTGTCCGCAGCAGCCCACGCCCACCTTGAGGCAATCGGTGTCGTCCTTCCGTTATCGCACGTGAACAGAGGCCAATAAGTAGAAATATTCTTTTATGCCACTTTTACACCAATAGTAGCTCAGCAACCCTATCAGATAACTCTTCCCTCTGGGCGCACACAGAGCTTCTTCACTGGACTTCTACGGTTCAGTCAACCCAAACACCACAGTTTAGTTATTCAGGGCCCTTTTGCTGGACACTTAGGCTGTTTCCAGTCTTTTGCTGTGGCAAGCAACATGTCCACGAGTCTCTGTCCCCGTGTTCATGCGTCTGTGGCCCTGTGTCCGGGCATGAGGTCCCACACCTCTCTGCCCCTGAATCCAAGTGCAGGTCCCAGGCTCCTTGCTGCTTTTGCCCATGATCCCCACCCCCACGGCCGACAGGGCTCCTAGCCCCCAGGACCTCCAGCCCTTCCCGCACCCCTGCTGAGCAGCGGTGTCCTTGCCCTCCTCCCAGGGAGGACCCATGGCGCGTGGCGAAGATGGTCAAGTCCTACCTGCAGCAGCACAATATCCCACAGCGGGAGGTGGTCGACACCACCGGCCTCAACCAGTCCCACCTGTCCCAGCACCTCAACAAGGGCACCCCCATGAAGACACAGAAGCGAGCCGCCCTGTACACCTGGTACGTCCGCAAGCAGCGAGAGGTGGCCCAGCGTAAGTAATGACCGCAGCCCTGTCTTCCCTGGCAGGGCCTGGGATTCTCTGCCGCTTGAGGATGGGAGCCGCAAGCTTCGAAAACCCCATTACTCGGACTGGCAGACGGAAGGGAAGTCAGCAGATTCAACCAGCATTTTATTACTTATTCTGTGCAAGGCCCTCTGGAGCAGGAGAGGAGGGTTGGTCCTGGGCTCCAAGATGGATAAGTTGGTTCCTGCCTTCTAAGAACTTCTGTGTAGAGGGGAAGCAGGAGACTGTATCGTTATGATACAGTGAGTCATGTATTATAACGTGATAACAACAATAATAGTGAGTATTTATGGAGCACTCACTGTGTGCCAGGCCCAGTGCAGAGGACTACATAGATTATTTCGGAGTATTGAGCTGGAGGAGGAGAGAGTAACCTATTCTTCCTCGGGGAGGCAGGGTGTCTGGAAGGATCACAGTAGAAGTATGACCTTTTAACTAAGTCTTAAAGTGTGAGGGGAATTTCGATCCAAGGAGATGCAGGGAAGGGTGTTTCAGATGGAAGGAACAGCATGAGTAAAGGCTCAGAGGCAAGGTACATGCTCTGCGAATCCTCCATAGCAAACTCTGGAAGACCCGGGTATACTGTTATTTAGGGAGTGGTGGGCTTCCTTAGGCCTCACACACTACAAAATCTGAAGTATGCTCTCATACTTCTGAGTCTTTCTATATGTAAAAAAAATTGGGGGGGGGTGTTAATTAATTTTATTAATTAGTCAGTTTTTTAAAAAGGCAATACACACTTGATTTAGAAAAATAGGAGAAAATAGAGTTTATAGTAAAAATGAGGTGTCTTTCTCCTAAAGCAGCCATTGGAATTCTCAGTCTCATTCTCATATGTATCCTGCCAGAGATATCTTATGCATATGCCAGCACTATATAACAAATGTATTTTCCTCTGCTCTCTAAAGGGCTGCTAGTTATTCTATTATTTGGAGGTACAGTTATTTGTTTAACTGGCCACCTACCAAAGGACTTTTAGGGTTTTTCCAATCTTCCATTATAACCAACTTTTTCCAAGTACATCCTTTGTGTTTATTTGTGCTCATATGTGAGTGTGTTTGTAGAGGTTCCTAGAGGTGGGATGCTGGGTCACAGAGTAAGTACTTTAAAATCTTTGAGAGATATTCCCATAGTTTCTTACAAAGACATGGTGACAGTTTACACTCCCACTAATAGTAAAAGTCACTACTGAAAACAAAATCTACACAACAGACATCTCTAATCCTTACTCTATATCTAGTCCTCACTCCAGTTGTTGAGATATTCACTCCCTATTGTACTATGGAACATGCTCAGAAAAAAGTGTGCATTTTGTACTGACTTATTTTGAAAAATTTGTTAGAACTAGGTTTAGCTTCTGAGAGGATTGTCTTTCCTCCAAACCATCGCTGGAAGAAATTTTACAGTATTAAATAAATGCCTATATTTTGTTGAAAGAACTGTTAGAAATGTAATCAAGGATTTCAGCCTAGAGCTGGGACTAAAGAAGCAAACTGTGACCCAAATAGAGCTTCCCCAGAGAATGTTTTAACTTTAAAGGAGACACTGGAGAATTTCAGATGCACAGCATGCAAGATAGGACTGAAGTATTAGGACTTTTTGGGTAACACAGGACAGAACCCTAACTCAAACTGATGTAAGCTAAAAAGGAATTGATTGGCTCATGAATGTGAGGAGTGCAGGGCTGCTTCAGGCATGGCTGGATCCAGGATCTCTTGGCTCCTGTTTTCTTCTTTGTTGGCTTCATTCTCAGGTATGCTCTGTTCAGATGGCAAAGATAGCCCCTGGGCCCTCTGGACTGCCATTGTACCAGCTCAGAGGGAAAAAAGCATCTCTTCAGCCTTTTCCAATGGAATGACTTAAAAATATATATATAAAATCATAAATAAAGTCTAACATATGAAAAGTACACAAATGTACAGCTCAATGAAATTTCACAAAGTGAACACACCAATGTAACTACCAATCAGGTAAAATATAGTCCATTATCAGCTCCCCAGAAACTCCCCTCATCCCAGCAAGAATAATTACTATCCTGACTTCTAGGACTGTAGGGCAATTATGGCTGTTTCTCAAGTTTGTATAAATTGAATCATACAGTGCCTTCTTTCATTTAACATTTAGTTGTGGGATTCATCTGTGTGGTTCCATGTTGTGGACTGGCTTTTCTCATTGCTGAGTATGAATTCTCCATCATGCAAATGCAATCAATGTACTTATTCTTTCTCTTTTGATGGACATTTGGATTGCTTCTGAGTTTTGCTATTTTGAACATTTGCTATAAACTTTGTAACACATGTCTTTTGCTAATTGTGTACATACATTTGTTGGGTGTGGAATTGGTGAATCAAATAGTATACATAAATTCAACAGCTATCAATTTATACTCCCACCAGCAGGGTTTGAGCATTCCAGGTGCTGCGCATCTTTGCCAACCCTTGATCATGTCAGTACTTTTCATTTTAGCTATGATGGACATGTGGTGGTGGCACTGTGGTTTTAATTTCTATTTCCTTTGATGACTCTTTAGGTTGAGTACCTTTTTATACAGTTATTGGGCATTTGGAGATCCTCAAGGAGATCACCCATTTTTCTTTTAGGTTGTCTGCTTTATTCTTACTGATCTGTAGGAGTTTTAAAAACTATACCCTGACCAAAAGTCCTTTTTCAAATATTGGTACTGCAAATATATTCTCCTATACTGAGGTTTGCCTTATATGCTCTAAATCATATATTTTGATGAGCAGGACGTCTTAATTTTTTTCTTTATGGTTAGCACTTTTTGTGTCCTGTTTAAGAAATCTTTGTCTAACTCAAGGTCATGAACATATTCAATTCTATTTTATCCTAATAGTTTTATTCTGCTTTTCACATTTAGAACCGCGATCCAGCTGGAATGCATTTCTGTGTGTGGGTGAGGTAGAGAGGTAGCTTCTTTCTTTTTACACGTTGCTTTGGCCTTTATTGTTCCTCTCAGTTTGTAGATGGAGCTACTGGTACCAAGATTCCATTTTTCTCCTGTGTAACTGACCACCCAACACCATTTATTGAAAGAACAGTGAACACACCAATAAGTCACAGTGGCCAAGGGGATATGATGTTTTTATTGGCCAGAATGAGGTCACCCCATCTCAACCAGAGGGGCTGGAAAGGTGGGCCCTGCTGGAGAAGCGGAGTGCTGGTACTAAAGAAGCAAACGGTGGCCTTTCTGAAGGAAGAAATTGACACTGTGCAGGCACAAGCAGGTATCTGTTAAGTGGAGTCCATACTTTACTCAGATTTCCTCAGTTTTTCCTAATACCCTTTTTCTGGCCAGGATCCCACAGTTGTGGACATATTACACTTAACTGTCATGTATCCTTAGGTTCCTTTTGCTTGTGAGTTTCTTAGATTTTTCCTTGTTTTTGATGGCCCTAGTGGTAATTTTTTAAAGCTAAAATATTTTAGTCTTTTGGTCCAAGTCATAGTGCCTTGTGCTCCAGATATTGGTCTAGTCCCCTGCCAGGCAGAATGGCCAACTGAGTGTCAGTATGAGTGGGTACTCAAGCCACAGCTGCTGAGATAGAATCTGAGCCAGGTGGGTTTCTAGTGGCTTCTAGGATTCATTTTTGGTGGGTCTAATCCCATCTTTCCCCAAAGCACTGGTGCATGCTTCCGCCTCTTGGCACACAGACAGTGGCATCACTCCTGTGGCTCTATCCTTGACTTAGAATCTTCCTGCCTCCCTTTTCATAAAAATGTCCTGGCACTTGTCTGTCCCATTCCCTTGGTAGCCTGCTCAGGGATAATCTAATATAGTGCCATTAAAGTGGAACCAGCTGATTGGGCCTGACTGGGTGTCTTCTCTGTGGACTAACGCTTGCATTTCCCCAAGTCTGGAAAGTTGAAAAAGCTTTGAACCTACTTAGGAGATATGGTTCAAGTTTCTGCTCTACTATGCTACCCTGGAAAGATATTTAACCTCCCTGAACCTCAGCTTCCTCATTTGCAAAATAGGATAGCAAATGCGTCAAATCTGAGCAAACACTAATGCTTACCTGGAGCCTTCTATTGAGAAGGATTGTTAGATTTTATCTTGGCTCAGTAGAAGAGTGTGCAGGGGTTGATTAGTGATGTCTGCCTTGGACAGGTTAATAGAGTGGTGGAATGTGCACTGTTTGTCATTACTGGACTAGATGATTTCTGAGTTCTAGCTGTAAGCTCCACTGGCCCAGCACCCTGGGAATGAGAAAGAATCAGAAGTGTGGTCAGATGAACTGATTTGGGAAGGTGGGAGTAGCCGTCTCCCTGCTTATTGCTCTCTGTGCCTACAGAGTTCACCCATGCAGGGCAGGGTGGGCTGATCGAAGAGCCCACAGGCGATGAGCTGCCAACCAAGAAGGGGCGGAGGAACCGTTTTAAGTGGGGCCCAGCATCCCAGCAGATCCTGTTCCAGGCCTATGAGAGGCAGAAGAACCCCAGCAAGGAGGAGCGAGAGGCACTGGTGGAGGAATGCAATAGGTAAGAGTGGTTGATGGGTTATTAGAGCTGGTTTGGTCTGGGCTGGGACAAGACTGGGGCAGGGGAGGGTGGCTCTGGGTCCTGAAGGAGGCTCCCAGTTCTGAGAGGTCCTACGCTGGCCCAGGAGTATTCAACTTCTACTCTGTGTCTGGAACCTAGCTCCCCTCCTCACACCCACACACCTACCACCCACCCGAGCAACCCTTGAGTGGCCGCTCATCTCATCTATCCTCACTATGCCCCTATGGCTATTTTGCTCACTGTATGAATGGAGAGTGAGAGGCTACGTCACTGGCTCAAGGTCACACAGCAGAACTGGGATTGGAACCCAGATCTGTCAGCCTCACTCAGGTAGAACCTGCTTCTCAGAACCCTAACCTTTAGCCCTGGAGACTCTGGCCTGGAGGCTCACAAGTGGCTGTTTTTGCAGGGCAGAGTGCATCCAGAGGGGGGTGTCACCATCACAAGCACAGGGACTGGGCTCCAACCTTGTCACAGAGGTGCGTGTCTACAACTGGTTTGCCAATCGGCGCAAGGAAGAAGCCTTTCGGCACAAGCTGGCCATGGACACATACAGTGGGCCACCACCGGGGCCAGGCCCAGGCCCTGTGCTGTCTGCTCACAGTTCTCCTGGTCTGCCCCCACCTGCCCTCTCCCCCAGTAAGGTCCACGGTGAGTGCTATCTGGGCAGGGGGATTGGGACACTGGGTAGAGGGGACATGGAGGTAGGTGGGCAAGCTGGGGAGCACTGCCCCAGTGGCAGCAGCCACCCAAACCTCTTAGTGCCTCAGTTTGGTTCCCTATCACTCCACTCCACTCTGTTTACACTGCCTTATCCACTCCACGCTCCACTCCATGACCCGTCCACTCTGTTCCATCCAGTCCAACCTAACTTGGTTTGGGTTACTTCAATTTATTCACAGATCAAGTCAACTCAATTCATTTTAGTTCAATGCAATTCAGTTCCATTCTGTACAACTTATTATAACCCAACTTAGTTCATTTAAGTTTGGTATAGTTCAGTCAAATCCAATATTCATTTAACCAATTCAGTCTAAACATAATTCAAGGAAATTCTGAATAGCTCAGCTCAATTCAATACAACTTGATTTGATTCAGTTCAACTCAGTTCCATCATGCTCAACCTAGTTCAAGTTCAGTTCAACTAGATTCACTTTCACTCAGCTAATTCTAGTTCATTCTATTCACTGCAGTTTAATTTCATTAGCTTCAGTTCACTTTGGTTCAAATTTCTTTTATTACACACTTACTACCTGTCAGGTATAGCACGAGGCAGTGGGGACCATGGAGCTAATAAAATGCAGCCCTTGCTCCCAAGGAGTTGGAAGCAGCCAGCATAGGGCCTGGCAGGACGATATTTGAGTGAAGTTTGCTGGCTGCATAAAGCAAGCTGGCGTGAGTGGCCTAAGCAACCTGATGTGGTTTGGAGTGACAAAGGTCATGGAGGGCAAGAAAGTGGGGTGCTGAGACTGGATGCCACTCCCTTTCTAGGTGTGCGCTATGGGCAGCCTGCAACCAGTGAGGCGGTAGAAGTGTCCTCGAGCAGCAGTGGCCCCTTGGTGACAGTGTCTGCACCCTTGCACCAAGTTTCCCCCACGGGTCTGGAGCCCAGTCACAGCCTGCTCAGCACTGAAGCCAAGCTGGTGAGGAAGACCCTTCCAACCCCAACTTCCCTTGGCTTGGAGATTCTGGCTGGAATGGTCTCCAGAGAGATAGTACGGAGCCCCACCCTGACTCAGCTTGCTTTCTCCTCCAAGGTCTCAGCAACTGGAGGTCCTCTGCCTCCTGTCAGCACCCTGACAGCACTGCACAGCTTGGAACAGACATCCCCAGGCCTCAGCCAGCAACCCCAGAACCTCATCATGGCCTCCCTTCCTGGGGTCATGGCCATTGGGCCTGGTGAGCCTGCCTCCCTGGGCCCCACGTTCACCAACACAGGTGCCTCCACCCTGGTCATTGGTAAGCTTGTGGGTGAGGGAGGGAGCTCCTGGGTGGGGGGTCTTACAGGGCCCCCATAGAATCCAGGGGTTGGAATAGCCACGGGGACAGACTCACTCACTCATTCATTCATACACATACATTTATGGAATGTCTACTCTGTGCCAGGCACTGTTACATCAGTGCTGCACGACTGAACCAAACAGACCAAAACCTCAGTAACCCAAGTGGGGAGGCAGACAATAACCTTTACACAGAAATTATATAGTATCTTAGAAGGTAAAACATTTGTGGGAAACTAGTAGGATAAGGGGGATCAAAGTTTTCCAGATGTTAGGTTTTTTTCTCTTAAAGCCTGGAAAGACTTTATTTGCCAGAACCATTATGCAGAAACTTAGTATATAAGAGAGGTGCTGGGAGAGAGGAAAGGAATTAAGCCACAGGGCCTTTGCACTGTGTGGAACCCAGGGCACCAGGGAGTCTAGTTTGACACATCTGCCCATATAATTAACTAGAGTCTCAGAAAGAGGAGTGACTTGCCAGGACCATGGGATTGAGAGACAGGTCCTGGTCCAACGGTGTTTCCTAAACCACCTGTCCCCCTCCTCTCACCTGTTCACTCTGGGAGGGAGAGACGGTGGCCCCAAGGGGTCAGGGCAGGGCTTGGGGGTGGAGGTGATGGGAGGCCTGGCTGACCCTCATTCCTCCCACTCCAGGCTTGGCCTCCACTCAGGCACAGAGCGTGCCGGTCATCAACACCATGGGCAGCAGCCTAACCACCCTGCAGCCGGTCCAATTCTCTCAGCCTCTGCCCCCTTCCTACCAGCAGCCACTTATGTCCCCCATGCAGAGCCACGTGGGCCAGAGCCCCTTCATGGCTACCATGGCCCAGCTGCAAAGCCCGCATGGTGAGTACCCCTGGCCCCGCACTGGGGGGTGGGAGAGGCCGGATGTGAGACCCCAGAAAGGGCAGCCTAGCAGCTGTCACGGTCTCGCTGTGAGTCTGCTACAAGTGTGAGCGCTTCTCTGACTGGGGTAGGGTAGTGGGAGCTCACCTGAGAGTCTTTGGGCCAGAGTATGTTTCAGAGTGTGAATATGTGTGGTCGTGTGCATGCACGTGTTTCCGTGAGTGGGCATGTGGGTGTTCATCTGTGTTTGCATGTGTACACTCACATATGGGAGTGCAGGTCATGATCCTTTCTCTTAAGCCCTTGGGGCCACATGTACTTCAAAATTCACAACTTCTCACACTTTAGCAAGGTAGTGTGGTGGATATACCGTATGTTAGTCAACATTGCCAGCAGGGTTTGGGGCAACACCTTGCCATCAGGCAACAGGAAGCATTCCACAAAGTAGGTTAGACCAATATAATCTCACATTTGGTTCAGGTCAGATTTTGCCACCAAATGAGCTTTAGGTCTAGTTTTACAAAACCTGCTATTTTTTCAGAACTTTATGGAATTTGGAATAGGGAAGGAAGGACTGTGGACCTGTGGATCTGTATATTTGGTTGAGGGCATGTATGTGTGTGTGTGTGAGTGGGTGTGGCCATGCATTATCTGAGACAGTGTGAGACTATGTGGTTTATGTTTTTCTGCCGGTGTCTGTGTGCGATTTCGTGGGCTGGGCTGTGGGTGAAACTTCCGACTGTTTTGGAGAGGTGTCCTGCAGGTGGAGATGTGCTGCCCTCTGCCCTGCTTACCCCCTACCAGGGGCAGCCATCCTTTCCCTGGAGGCCTGTACCTAGTACAATAGCACCTGCACCTCCCATTACTTTTCTCACCTGCCAGGTGACAGAAGGAGCTGGCTTTGGGTTTCTGGCCTCCCCAGACTGCTGTCCACCAGGCCAGGCTGAGTGGCCCCTGTAGTTGGAGAGAGGGTCCAACCCTGTATCTGAAGCTCCCCCAGTTTTGGAAATCAGTTCTCAGTCCTCAACCACTGCCCCACCAGGCCATTCACTAGGTCCCATGCTCTACTTTCCCTGGAGCACCCAGCTTGAGGCTCTCCTGGGAGAGGGCCCAGGGAGCCATGTCTGTGTTCCCCTTTCTCCTCCCTCGTGGTCAGCCCTTTACAGCCACAAGCCTGAGGTGGCCCAGTACACGCACACAGGCCTGCTGCCACAGACCATGCTCATCACCGACACTACCAACCTGAGTGCCCTCGCCAGCCTCACACCCACCAAACAGGTAAGGGCTGGCCCTGCCCTGGCCCTGTCCTTGTCCCCTTCCCAGAGCCCACCCCGCGGGCTCAGGAGGGGGTTCTGTCTTGCCAGGTCTTCACCTCAGATACTGAGGCCTCCAGCGAGTCTGGACTTCATACGCCAGTGTCTCAGGCCACCACCATCCACATCCCCAACCAGGACCCTGCTGGCATCCAGCATCTGCAGCCTGCCCACCGGCTCAGCGCCAGCCCTACCGGTGAGTGGCCTTTCTCTGCCCCCTCCTCCCCTCAACTGGGGAGGAAGGTGTGTGCAGCAGGTGTTGGAGGGCACCTGTGCTCTCTGGAAGTGAGCCCAGAAGGGTGAGGAACAGGGAGATGGGCCTACCCAGTAGGAACAGCTCAGTGACTCCGTTGGAAAAGATGCTGCAATTGGAAGAGGAGTAGAGGGTACTAGTGAGGAGCAACCTGAGCTGGCTGTGGGCCAGAAGCGGCTGATGGATGGGTTGGTTTGACTCAGGGTTTAGCATTCTTTGAATTCACTGCCAGCACTTAAAAATCAGAGGCTTCCACAGACCCATTCACTTTCCTCCCCTGATGGCCTGAATCTGCACCCTGCAATGTCAGCATGAAGGCCGGGCCCTCTGGAGTCAGGCTGCTGGGCTTTGAGGCCTGAGGCGGCCACTTGCTCAGCGTGTGACTCTGGGCAAGTTGTTCCCACTCTGTGAGCCTCAGGGTTCTCCACGCAACCCTAGGGGCTGCAGTGACAGCTCCTGAGGGCTCGGTGGTCAAAGCTCCACACTTCACCGGTGAGGTGTGGCATCACCCGCACTGTACAGATGAGAAAGAGGACGCCCAAGGTGAAGGACTTGTCCTTGATTTTGACGGCTGCTAGGTGGCCGGGCCAGGACTTGAATCCAGGTCCAAGCTCAAAGCCCATTGTCTTAACCGTCCAAATCAGTGAGGGTTCCCTGAAATGGAACCAGTAGGGGTGGACAGGGAGCTGGCTCCTGCGATGGTGAGGCTGGCGGGTTTGAAAGCTGCAGGGCAGCCAGCAGGCTGGGGGCGGAGGCTGGAGTTGATGCTGCGGTCTCGAGGCAGAGCTCCTTCTTCTCCAAGACACTTCAGCTTTTGCTCTTCAGGCCTTCAACTGATTGGCTCACCCACATTATCAAGGGAAATCGCCTTAAAGTCAACTGATTACAGGTGTTAACCACATCTACAAAATACCTTCACAGCAATGTTTAGCGTGCAGTTCAATGACAGGGTATGGCAGCCTAGCCCAGGTGGCGCATACAGCTGACACCATGCCATCTCGCCAGAGCTTCTGTAATGTTCCCACTAAAAGCCCCAAGGAGGCCACCTCATGGGTGTCCCAGAGTCAGGCTGGGGGTTGAGACCCAAGGGTAGAGGTTTGACTTTGGGGTTCTGGGTATCTGCTGTGATTCAGGTGGCAAGGCCTTACCTCCCCTGTCTCAAGTGCCCCCGGGGACAGGAGGGCAGGGAGGTCAGGGCGGGCTTGGCGGGCAGTCAGCAGCTCCGCTGGCCTCCGCAGTGCCTTCCAGCAGTTTGGTGGTGTACCAGAGCTCCGACTCCAACCACAGCCACAGCCACCTGCTGCCACCCAACCACAGCGTCATCGAGACCTTCATCTCCACGCAGATGGCCTCTTCCTCCCAGTAACCTTGGCAACTGCCTCCCAGGGGCCAGGCCCTGGAGCCTGGATGTCTGCTTGGTGGGTGACGAGGACACCTGAGCCTGCAAGACTTTTACTGCCATGGGGCTGCTGCCCTTGGAGAACCCCATCAGTCCCCACCTGGCTCTGCCAGCACCACAAAGGGAGGCATCTGAGCCCCAACCTGGGGAAGGTTGCTTCCATGCACAAGAGGGGCCTGTGCAGAACTAGGAAGCAAAGCCTGCTCCTGGCAGGACATAGGATGGAGTGTCCCTGCTGATCAGGGTAAATCTTGTCACTTGGAACAGAAACGGACAGCCTTTGGACTCTGGTGCCCCAGCCTGGGCCCGTGGAGAGCCCTGGGACCCTGAAGGGTACTCTGGCAGCCACTTCTTAGGACACAAGCCTGTGCAGCTGTGACTGGCTGAGCTCTCAGAAAAGCCCTAGCTCAATATGGCCTCATACAGTCACCTATGCCCTGACTAGGCCACTCTACACTGTCCCCCTTCCAGCTACTGACCCACATGTCACCCACTCACATAGCATTGTCTGAGCGGCTACTCTGGGTCAGGGCCCCGGGGAAGCTCAAGCTAACAGCAAAGGCATGCAGAGCTTTCCAGCTTCCCTTATCCTGAGCCCTCCCTCTCCCTGGCCCCCATGACCTCGTTTCCTTGGACTTTTGTTCCCCCAAGCATCACGCCTTCTGACGCCAGCCTGACATCTTGCCACTACCGGAAAGCCCCTTGGTGGGGAAAGTTGTCCCTGCTCCTGCGGGAGCCTTGAGACTCTGCACCTGGTGCTAAACTGAGGCTGTGGGACAGCAGTACCTTTGGCCTCTGGGGCCCGGCAGACAATCCCCATTTCAGAGAAGCTGCCAAGCCCAAAAGGCAGCAAGGCCTGAGACACTGGCAGAACAGAGGTGCTGAGGGGGAGGAGAGAGTGAGAGGAGCCACCTGTGCAGACAGGACTGATGCCTGGAAGCTTAGGAGCCCACCTGGCTGAGGGAGGGGAAAGCTCCAGGGGGTCACAGCCACCCTGAGAAGCCTGAGGCTCTGAGCACCACGGGGAAGGACAGGCGGCTGCGCACATCTAGGGTTCCCGTGACCCCATCTCCTCCGGGCTGCTGCAGGTAACCGCTCACGGACTGCCTCCATCCTGGGCCTGGGGAAGAGGCCGGGAGAACCAGCACCCCTTGCAGCTTGCAGCCAGCTAAGGGCAAGCCTGTATGTGTATTTAACTTTTAGTAAAGTAAATGAGGAACATATCACAGACTACTTGCTTGTCCACACATTGCCCAGATGGGGCTGGGCAGGCAGAGGGAGGTGCAGGTGGGTCCATCACACGCACACTGTCACCCTGCCTGTCTTTCTTGCTCTGCTGAATGAAAGGCAGGGTGACGAAACCGGAAGTTCATCTGAACCTTGAGCTTCCGCTCTTGCCTTAGAGCTAGCTTGCAGGAGCACATCGTGGGATGTACGCAGGAGATGTGACGCTTATTTAGGATGAATCAAAATTCAGCACTGACAGAAAGGCAGCACCCAAATCACTGTTTCATTTTGGTTTTCTCAACAATTTATTTTTGATAATCTGGCTGGTGTAGACACATGATTGTGCATGGTATATTCACAAATATGGAGAAAGAAAATTCTGGAAACTTAGAGGGAACACACAGACCTGGAGGGAGAAGTACAAAACTCTTTCTGGGCTTTGGCGTCTCGGGGACCCCTTCCCTCGTTCTAAGTTTGTCTCCCATACAGGCTGAGGTGGAGGGGAAGGGAAAGGTCCCCCTTCACTTGCTCTTCTCAGACAATCCTGGGAAGATGAAGCTTTGCCACTTGGCCATCAGTCTTGAGTAACTGGAAGACTCCTTCTTCCTTAGGCCAAGGAATGTTCTGGTACCACAGGTCCGTCCAGCCCACAGTGGGAGCACAGAAGGGCAGGCCTTGCTGAGGCTTCTTGCCCTACCACCACGTCTTTGCCCAGACTGCTGGGCAAGCCCTAATCATGGGTAGAGTCTGGGCTTGGAAGTGCCTTGTCCCCAGTGGGTGCCTCGTGCTGAGGGCTAGTCGGCCCTGTGCCCACAGCTGGGGTCAGTTTGTAGGCACAGCTGCCGCTCTCTTGGCTGGTGGGGATAGGGAAACCTCACTGGCCTTTGTTTTTTTCTTCCTTTTCTTCTTTTTGGTTCCAAATGACGCCGGGTCTCGGCAGAGCTCGGGTGACCCCTTTTCCTGCTTCCCCACTGTGATCCCGCTTGTGGTGGTAGTGGCAGTGGGCACGTCAGCGCTGATGTCCTTCTTCGCTTTCTCTGTCGACTTCCTTTTCTTCCTCTTTGCCTGGTTTCCCACTGGGACAGGGCCGTGGAGGGCGGACTCCTGGAGAAGGTCGGAGGCGGACACAGCTGCCTCCCGGCACCGCTGCCACTCCTCCTCACTGTCCTCACTGCTGCAAGGAGGAGGCGGTCTGGGTCAGCTGAGTTGGGAGGGAGCCCCAAGGCTGCTCTCTCCCCTTGCCCTCAGTCTAAGCCACCAGAAAGAGGCCAGAAGGAGGCAGTTACAGAGCTCAGTCTTGGGAGTGGGACCAACCCAGGTTCCAACACCGGCTTCTCTGCTTCCCAACTGGGTAACCTCATTAACTGACTTAACCTTCCTGACCCTCAGTCTCTTCATCTATAAAATGGGCATCTTAACCAAGTCTAGGACCCACAGGAATATTCCCAGGAGTGACATGTCTGGCACAAGATGGGTGCTCAGAAACCAGTGAAGATCCAAAGCCGATCCCTGGAGGCCCCCTCCCCCTGCACTGAGTATACTGTTTCTAGAGCTGCCTGTCAGGACTCCTTTTTGGCCTGGACCAGACTGGAGTCTGTCTGGCTATTTTGGGGGAGTGGCAAACACAGAAAATGGGCAAAAAGGAGGGAACCTGCAGCGAGGGTACGAGCTTACCTGGAGCTGGAAGGTAATCGCTTCCTGCGGGGCTGGGGAGGAACTTTCTCCTTAGGACCTCCAGGGATGGATGTGAAGAAAAGGCGGAAGCCTGAAATCCAAGGAGCAGAGTCAGCATTGCAGGTGGCCACCCGCCCTCCCTTCCACGTGCTAAGGCTGCCTGCTCCTGCCCTCAAAGAGCTCCTAGCTCAGAGGCAAAGACCTGGGAATCACTGTCACTGCACTAGAAAATGATGCATGCTTGATGTCCACCAGAACCTGAGGACAGGGTGCTTGCCAAACCAGGTCAGCATGCAATCAGAAGCTTCTGGAAATCAGCAGCTGAGCCTCCTGCCTAAGGCAGCCTCCAAAACAGCAAACATGCTGGGCACGGGACAGACAGATGCAGATGGGAGGGCTCGTGGGTGAGGTGGTAAGGGGCTCCTGCTCAGGGCTGGACAGATGAAATCACTTCAAGCAAGTGATTTCATTTCTCAGAACTTCAGCTTCCTTTATAGCTTCTCTGTAAACTGGGGTATCACCATCATGCCTGCCTCAGAGCGGGACTGAGCAGAAGAAAGAATATACCGAAACTGCAGACACATGGTAGGCAGTCAATTAAATGACAGCTGATATTAATAGTATAACCACTCACCGTCATCCTCTGGGGTGACTCTCTGTACCTCAGCCTTTGTTGGCTCCTTCACTACTTCTGAGATGAAAATGGAGCTAAGGGGGGAGGAGATGGTTGAGATTTTTGGTAACAACAAGAGAAAGTTAAAACTTTTTTTTTAAGTGGAGGGGATAAAGGCATGAGATCTTAAATGCAATACCATTTGCATTGAGATCTTAAATACATTTACCATTAGTGTGGTAAGAATGCTAAATGACTACAACCATTTCATGCTCATCAGCCCCTGCCAGCTCCAACTGCAGTGCTTCATTATTTTAAACCTCACTTTATACCAAAAAGTGATGAAGTTTTAAACATAAAATAAAATGAATGCAATTTCAGATAGGACAAAGAGAAAATAAGGGCAGACAGGACAGAAAGAGCCGAAGTATGATCAGGAAGTCTTATATGCTTGCTAGGGAAAGGACACATTTTGCTTTGAGTTTCCTGGCAGCAAGCATGAAAAGGGAAACATAACCATCTAGAAAAGTGGCTCAGAGGTCAGTTTCTAGAAAGGGCAGACAGACCTGTTTTTTTTTAATTAAAACAAAAATTGAGACAATTATAGACTGACATGCAGTTGCCAAGAAATAATGCAGTGAGATCCTATAAACCCTTTGTCCAGTTTCTCCTTATACCATTGTGTATAACTATATAATCTTACAACCAGGAAATTGATACTGATAAAAGTCCATTGACCTTTTTAGACTTGAGAGACTTGGGTTTTGAATCTTGCCGTTGTCATTTATTAGCTGTGTCCCCTTTGTCAAGTGACTTTGACTTCATCTCTGAGCCTGTTACCCATCTGTATACTGGGACTGATAACCCTGCTATTAGGGGTATCACAAGGATCAGAGGAGAGAGTGGCTATCAAGCACTTAGCACAGAGCTTGGCCACAAGCAGGTGCTCAGTCAGTGGTAGCTATGATGACAATGATGATTATTGTCACTGAGATAAGCAACATCGGGTATCAAACAAAAATAAGCCTCCTCTCTAGAAGCAGAGAGCAGGGAGAATTGTGAGAACAGGAAGCATCTGTCTGGTGAAGGCGGACGGAGCAGTCCCCATGCACTGCAGAGACAATGCTCTCAGCAATGTGCCCGCAGTAAACACAGCAATGCAGTGGGCACCTTCTCCTAGCTGCCTTCTGTACATCCCAAAGGCACTCTCTCCAACTCCTGGGCAGGTAAGTAATCTAGAGAGAGGGAATGAAACCACTGCTGCCCAGGTGCTTGACCCTGACCTGAGTACCTGACACAGAGGTTCACTGTTGGTCCACAGGGGAGGTCTGGAGACATTTTTAGTTGTCACAGCTAATGGGGGAATGCTATGAGCATCTAATGGGTAGGGGCCAGGGATGCTGCTAACCATCTAAATGTACAGGACGGTCCCCCACAACCAAGAATAACCCAGTGTAAAATGTCCACAGTGCCAAGGCTGAGAAATCCTGATCTAACACAAGGGACCAACTGCAGAATCATTTAAATCACTTTGCAAAGAACATAAAAACACTGCAAGGAATATTCTGACCGTGGCTGGCCTGCATCTTGCTGGATTTCCCCCTGGGGAAATGTCTGGTGTGGGTCACTGCAATGCCAGGCAGGTCTTGTGCACCCTGAAGCCGAACAATCAAGAAAAACTGCTCCCTGGGTTGAAATGCTAACTGACCTTCCTAAATACATTTACCACATTCTCAAGCTAGGAACCAGCACTAATGCCATGGTGGTTCAGGCTGCTGAAGTCTGCAGCATTCTGCAACATTCTGTCCCAGAAGTGCAGTTGGTTTCATTTTGGGAGGATTAATTTGTCCTTTATGATGTCTACTTCAAATGGAAGGAGTATGGCCTGAACATCTTCACCTCCCTTTCAAAACCTGCTAGGGTTCTGCCAGTCTGTAATGGACTGTTTAAGTTCAAAATGTATTTTATGGTACATTGATCAGAATTCCATGAACCAAAGGCACTGTGGCCAAATGAGTTTGGAAATTGCAAGTTACATAGGTCTCTTTACTGCAGGACTTCTCAGAGCCTTGAATACACTACTATGAGCCTAAATCTCCAAGGGCACATAGAGGTATGTAGACTGCAGTGCTTCTCAACTTCTTTGCTGTTGGACCCCTTTATTCTAAAGCCATACTTTGGACTTGGGGCCCATTTTAGAAATGCTGACCTGGATCATTACAGATTGTATTCTCAAATGTAAGGAGGACAGCTGGCACTGTGCCTGGCAAACAGGGCCCAAGAATAGTAATTCCGTCTGTCCCTTGCCCTCTGTGGTGGGAATGAGCTCTTGCTTCTTGCGCTGCTCTCTTATTTTCATGGCAGTAGGATAATGCAGTGATTAAGAGCATGGCCTCTGGAGTCAAATACACTAGTGTGTGAGTCCCAGTTCTGCTCCTTACTCCCTGTGACCTCAGGCAACTGCTTCTTCTCCCGGAGAGCCTGTTACTTCACCTAGAGAATCAGGATAATGTCAGCACCTGCGTGGTAGGGCAATAACTGCAATGATGTTGTACCTGCCCACACCTGCTGGCACGGCATGGGCTCCCAACTGATGTGAGCCATTACTGCTCATATTAATGAGGGCAGGACAAGAAAAGGGACACTTTCGGTTACCTGTCGAGGAGGGCTCCCAGCTTCTTGGCTATGTGGGCTCGGAATTCGGGGGTGGTCTGAAGCTCGTTGCCATCTTGATCGTGTTCATCCACCTTACGCCTATTAACACACACAAAAGGACCTCAGAAAGTCCAGCTCAGAAGCTGCCCCAATGAGGGCAGGGACTGCATGTATCTTATTCACCCTGATATCCCAGGTCTAAGCTAGCATCTGGCACACAGCAGGGAATCAGTATTTATTAGATGAATAAATAAAGCTTGAATCTAAAATGCACAGTACCTGAGGCTTAGCTGGGTAGCTGGCAACTGATTATTTGCGGCACCTGTGGAAATAATGAACCGTGAGACATTTACAAAAGGAAACAACAATATCTGCTGTGATTTTAAGTGATCATGTATAATTCATTGAATCTTCCCAATGACCCAATTAGATAGATCATTATTGCCATTTTGCAGAAGAGGAAAGTGAGGCAAGGAAATGTAATATAACTGCCAGAGTCAACCAAGGCTAGTAAGTGATAAGAGCTGGGAGGACTCAGGCCATTTGGTTCCAGAGCCCTCCTCTAAACTACCATGCTAAGCAGGCTCGTCTAGGTGTGATCTAATTCCAGCATCTCCTGAGCACCTACTGTGTGCCTGGCTGTATGCTAAGTGCTGTGGAGAAAAGAGAAAAGGGTGGCTCAATCATGTTGATTACGTTTTTTCAAGCCAAGACATTGGGAATGCCTGGCCTGGTGGTCATTCACTCAACCAAATACTGAAGGTCTAATATTACCCAGGTGGTGTTCTAGTTGCAGAACAACTAAGGCAAAGATCCCAGGCCCCATGGAGCTTACATGCTAGTCAGTAGAAACAGATGACAAAAAACCACACCTAATTAAAGTATAAAATTAGATAATAATGAGTATAATGGGGAAAAAAGGGGAGGAAGATGTGAGTGCCAGGTGGAGATCATTTAAAAAAGCAGGGAGGGCATCACTGATAGGTGACACTTGAACAGACATTTGAGCGAGGTGAGGGAGCGAGTCAAATGGGTAACTGGGGAAGAATCTTCCAGTTGGAGGGAAGAGCACCTGCAAAGGCCCCAAGGCAGAAGCCCATCTGGTAGGCCAGCACGGCCAGAGCCAGTGAGCTGGGGGAGCAGCCTGGGGCTAGATCATGAAGGGCCTAGGGCCTGGTGGGCCAATGTGAGGACCTGGGCCTTGAAGGAGGTGAAGAGCCCCTGGAGGATTCTGCAGAGGAAGGATATAAACAGATGTAGGATTTTACAGAATCCCTCTGGCTCCAGTATGGAAAAAGACCATAGTGGGACAGGACAGGAGACTGCTGCAAGAACTGAGATGGTGAGACGTGGTAGGACACTAGATGCATGTATTTGGAAGATGGAATCAACAGGATTTTGCTGATGAACTAGGTAGGTGGTGAAAAATGAACTAGCCTAGTGAAAGATGGTTCTGAGGATTTTAACTTAAATAGTGGGACAAAATGTGCTTATGTATTTAAGGCACCAACTCAACAAACGGACCCTTGGAAATTCTGGGCCCAAAGCACAGCACAGAATGCAAAATGCCCAGCACAACTGGAATTTGGTAATGTGGAAGCCCGAGACAGTCTTTAAAGATCTGCATTTCCACATAGTCACGGACCCAAGGGTAGGAGTTTCATCCACAATGGGCACTTGCCTGCGGCAGGGAGTACGCCTATTAACACACACAAAAGGACCTCAGAAAGTCCAGCTCAGAAGCTGCCCCAATGAGGGCAGGGACTGCATGTATCTTATTCACCCTGATATCCCAGGTCTAAGCTAGCATCTGGCACACAGCAGGGAATCAGTATTTATTAGATGAATAAATAAAGCTTGAATCTAAAATGCACAGTACCTGAGGCTTAGCTGGGTAGCTGGCAACTGATTATTTGCGGCACCTGTGGAAATAATGAACCGTGAGACATTTACAAAAGGAAACAACAATATCTGCTGTGATTTTAAGTGATCATGTATAATTCATTGAATCTTCCCAATGACCCAATTAGATAGATCATTATTGCCATTTTGCAGAAGAGGAAAGTGAGGCAAGGAAATGTAATATAACTGCCAGAGTCAACCAAGGCTAGTAAGTGATAAGAGCTGGGAGGACTCAGGCCATTTGGTTCCAGAGCCCTCCTCTAAACTACCATGCTAAGCAGGCTCGTCTAGGTGTGATCTAATTCCAGCATCTCCTGAGCACCTACTGTGTGCCTGGCTGTATGCTAAGTGCTGTGGAGAAAAGAGAAAAGGGTGGCTCAATCATGTTGATTACGTTTTTTCAAGCCAAGACATTGGGAATGCCTGGCCTGGTGGTCATTCACTCAACCAAATACTGAAGGTCTAATATTACCCAGGTGGTGTTCTAGTTGCAGAACAACTAAGGCAAAGATCCCAGGCCCCATGGAGCTTACATGCTAGTCAGTAGAAACAGATGACAAAAAACCACACCTAATTAAAGTATAAAATTAGATAATAATGAGTATAATGGGGAAAAAAGGGGAGGAAGATGTGAGTGCCAGGTGGAGATCATTTAAAAAAGCAGGGAGGGCATCACTGATAGGTGACACTTGAACAGACATTTGAGCGAGGTGAGGGAGCGAGTCAAATGGGTAACTGGGGAAGAATCTTCCAGTTGGAGGGAAGAGCACCTGCAAAGGCCCCAAGGCAGAAGCCCATCTGGTAGGCCAGCACGGCCAGAGCCAGTGAGCTGGGGGAGCAGCCTGGGGCTAGATCATGAAGGGCCTAGGGCCTGGTGGGCCAATGTGAGGACCTGGGCCTTGAAGGAGGTGAAGAGCCCCTGGAGGATTCTGCAGAGGAAGGATATAAACAGATGTAGGATTTTACAGAATCCCTCTGGCTCCAGTATGGAAAAAGACCATAGTGGGACAGGACAGGAGACTGCTGCAAGAACTGAGATGGTGAGACGTGGTAGGACACTAGATGCATGTATTTGGAAGATGGAATCAACAGGATTTTGCTGATGAACTAGGTAGGTGGTGAAAAATGAACTAGCCTAGTGAAAGATGGTTCTGAGGATTTTAACTTAAATAGTGGGACAAAATGTGCTTATGTATTTAAGGCACCAACTCAACAAACGGACCCTTGGAAATTCTGGGTCCAAAGCACAGCACAGAATGCAAAATGCCCAGCACAACTGGAATTTGGTAATGTGGAAGCCCGAGACAGTCTTTAAAGATCTGCATTTCCACATAGTCACGGACCCAAGGGTAGGAGTTTCATCCACAATGGGCACTTGCCTGCGGCAGGGAGTGTCATAACAGCAGGTAACAGCACAGGCCTGGAGTCAGAGAGACCTGGATTTATGCCTGGCTCTGAAGGGAGAGGCAGGCAAGGAATGGATTCCAAGGGGCTTGTCAGCCCTTTTAAACAAAAACAGTGTTCTTAACCTTGCAAAGCCTGGCTCCCTTTTCAGAACAATGTTTTAAATCTATAGAATAGAACACATAAGATCACAAACAAAACAAGATGAAACCAGTGATACTGAAATGGTTATCTTTAACAGTAAAAAAATCAAATTTGGCATACTAATATGTGTGTTTCTTTATTAATGCATTAAATGACATCCACTGTGGAGTCTAAAAATTGCTGCAATTTTAAAGCAGGATGAGTGTAAATGATATTTTTCCCAAAATGTTATTGTGAATAAAATATTTTGATGCATATGCAAAAACTGTAATGGAATACGAAAACTTTTTACGTTTGTTTGGACAAAATAGCAGGTATTGCCAAAACTACTGTGGCTTGTTCACATGCATGATAGAGATGCTAAATTTCAATAAAGGTCGGTAAAGATGAAATATTTTTCCCATTCCAAATTCACGGACTCTGGATTACATCCATGACTAAGTAGCCGTGTTTGCGGGGCTTTTCACTCCCGGGGCACTAGGGAGTCACAGTCAGAGACATGCTTAGGACAGAAATCACTGGCAAGCCCCGGGTGTGAGAAGGTGCTGAAGGCGGGGAAAGGCTGGATGTGCGAATCCAGGAAGAGGATGTCGCATTTACCCTGGCTTGGTGGCGGACTGCCCCGTGTGCGACAGTGACGAAGGGCCGAAGGAAGCAGTTGAGAGACAATCAGGTGCTTCAGTTTCCCCGACTGAGATGACAGACACCCTCCCCTTTGCATCTGCCCGCGCCGTGAGTACGAAGCCCGCCCTGTCCCTGGCGCTTTCCCCAGGTAAGAAGTCGAGTTCCTGCGACTACCTCTCACCGCCCATCCTCTCAGATCCCCGCGGAAGATCCCACACCTTTCGGCCAGGCTCCCTGAACACAGTCCCTACCGGCCCTTGGCTTCTCCGGCACGCTCGGGCGCTGCTCCAAGCCCCAGGCTGGCATCGCCGCTTCGCGGCACCTTGCCAGCTCCTCTGCATCGCTGCTGCTGCTCTCCAAGTCGCTTGCGGAGCCACTAGACGCGGCCATCTCGAGCCACCGCAAAGGATTCTGGGGGGACGCCTCTACTGGTGACCCGCCTCCGCGACGCTGCGTGAGAGCGAAGAAGCGCAGGGCATGGTGGGGACTGCAGTTCTCAGGCTCTGGCTGCCCCGGGCCTCCAGCTGGCCTGGCGGTGTCCTCAAATGTGATAGCTGGAAGGGCCTAAGAGATTAATTTCTCCATCCTTTTCTAGATAAGGAAGCGAGACCTTCAGAGGAGAAGAAATTGCTAAAAGTCACATAAGGAGTTAATGAGAACAAGCAGTTGTTCCAAGTTTTGATTTAAGGTGGTTTCATTATTACCGTTTATTCCAGTAATTCCAAAATCTGAGTATCAGAAACGCCTTGGGAAACTTGTTGAGAACAAAATTCAGATTATTGGATTTAATAAAAAAA